GCCTACATACTCGTATCTACTAGAAAGATACCTTGTCCTAGGGGGGACAGGAACAAAAAAGACTGGGGAAGTCAGCAGGAGGAGGGGCTTTTATAGGGAGGGTTATGCAATGTTTAACCCTTTTGTTCCTGTCAACTAGGGGTAATTGGAGCGAATACCCATTGGTCAGCGCTGCCATGGATATGGCCAGGAAACTAGGTTTATGACAAGTTCCTGTATCTTTGCTCAGTGCTTCTCGAGAAAAAGGCCTTTATCACCAGGTCTGACAGGGTGCTAAATCATGGGTACTTTGCACAATACTTATCCAGTGATAAAGCTGTTCTCTACTTTTCTCCCTTTATTAAACAGGTACATTCCCATTACTTTCTGTGTAATTATCACCAGGATGAGAAGAGGTGAGATATTTCAGTTCCTACCTGACTTATCACGGGTTATTAAACAGCATTTTCTAGACTTTTGAGGGTTATGCAATGTTTAACCCTTTTGTTCCTGTCAACTAGGGGTAATTGGAGCGAATACCCATTGGTCAGCGCTGCCATGGATATGGCCAGGAAACTAGGTTTATGACAAGTTCCTGTATCTTTGCTCAGTGCTTCTCGAGAAAAAGGCCTTTATCACCAGGTCTGACAGGGTGCTAAATCATGGGTACTTTGCACAATACTTATCCAGTGATAAAGCTGTTCTCTACTTTTCTCCCTTTATTAAACAGGTACATTCCCATTACTTTCTGTGTAATTATCACCAGGATGAGAAGAGGTGAGATATTTCAGTTCCTACCTGACTTATCACGGGTTATTAAACAGCATTTTCTAGACTTTTCACTTTGCTAAGGTGAGAAAAGCCTTCTCACTGCTTATCAGACTCTTTCACAGTTTATTAAACGTACACCTGAATCTGGATCAGATGCCCATGGCAACCAATCAGCTTCTATTTTTTATCTTCAAAGCTTAACTGAACAAACTTAAAAGAGAAGCTAAATTTCCCTCACTTTGTTTTTGCATTTGGTAGTACACCGGCATGTGTTTGAGCGATATTGTTTGGCAGCATATGAAGAATTTGCAATCTGCATTGTAGAAACACAAGGCACAGTACATACGAGTAATGCCTTGTTTACATGGGCGGCAGATCACTTTTCAGAGGGGCGGTTAACAGCAGGTTTTCATCCATTCAGGAGACAATATTGCTGCCTCCTGAATGCCTGTTTTTTTAAACCAATATGTTATATAAAATTTACTGGGGATGGGGGATGCATTAAATATTTGGATCAGCTGCCTGTTTTAGCGCCCCATTGCTGCTACAAAGGAATACTGAAACTAGATACATTTACAGATTCTAGTGAAGCAGATGTATTTTTCCCCAGGAAGTGCTGGCCAGTAGTGTTTGTGGTCACTTGCAGATATAAGGGCCAAAGTATAACAGCACTTTTACTAAAAATTTTACTTTTGTATTTGTAACATCAGACCACAAAGATGCTGAGATGCTGTTTCAAGTAATACTGGCTGTAGCCTCCTGGCCCTGAACACATCCAGCTGTGAACTTGAAAATCAGCTTCTTGGAGACAGACTGCACCATTCATCTCAGTGCGTAGCAGGTCTCCAAAGCGTAACCTCTAGAACACTTAAAGGGTTATTCACAAAAGGGTGAAGAGTTTGGAGAAGGCAGGAGAAGTGAGCAATCTAGAACAACATAGCTGAACTGGAAAGTGAGCTGAATTGGAGATTTTTTTCCAAATCAGTTACTTTGGTCTAGATTGTTCACTCCTCCTGCCTTCTCCAAACCCTTCACCCTTTAGTGAATAACCCTGTTAGTTTATAGTAAAGTTGTAAGCTCATGCTGCAAGCTCATTTTTGTTTTGAAACGTATACCATCATACTGGCATTTTTATGGGCAGCAGGGAGAAGTATAAATCTCCAGGGGTTGTATTATAAAGTGGTTGCTATATGCTGGGCAAATGATCTATGCACAGCATTACTGCCACTAGATGGAGCCAAGGAGCATAGGAAATTATTATGCTCCTCGGCTCTATCCAGTGGCAGTAATGCCCTGTGAGTGGCATTCATACAGCTTTACGCTGGGCGAACGCTTTAAAGGACAACACCATAGTGTTTACTAAAAGTGCAGTTACACTTTAATAAAGGGCTAATTTGGATAATGTTATATAAAACAGTCTATTTATTAATTCAGAGACTAATTGATTTGTAGTAATCTGATTTTCCAAACATTCAGGTCTAGCCAGGGTTACACTGTGATTTCCATTCCTCATGTCAAATATAATAATATATTCTTTCCCTAAAAAAGTATTTGGTCTTCGAACTGTGTATATGACCATATAAATAATAATTTATATTAGACCATCTGTATTTAATCATCCATATTAGCCCATAACAGGAGGGTGATGACTACTGTTTCAACCAATTATATTGACACTGTTTTCAGATTTCCAGTTCTTTGTTTAAATAATACGAAATAGCCAATGTTGTTCTGTGATTCAGCTCACTAATGGATCCATGAAAGATGCCATCTGATCATCATTTCAGGGATAGACTGCGCTTGAGGCCATAGAGCTTTAATTAGATTGGACTGATGATAAATTGTGAGTTTCTGTAACTAATATGATAGTTTTCTACTACAATCTAATATTCTAAGATATTTGAAATAATAATTCTTTATTTTACTTGCGATTTTCTTTAATTTGTACTATACTTTGTTTTACTAATTGCATATCTGAGGCTGGTTTTAATCAGACTGCCCTTGGGAGAGTCCGGAAAGATTTTTTTTTTAATTGTGTTGGAATATTGGAAAAAGTTGTATAAGGAGATTTGTAACATATCAGTGTTTTAGCATTGTCTAACTTTAACCTCCTATTTTACAGATAAACTGATTTGCCTGAAAATACCTGGATCGGATAATAGTCCTCTTAAATCAATGTTTTTTTTTTCCTTTTATTTCATAATTCTATCTGCATCTGGGACCTTGGTTATGGGGTAATGAAATACCAAGTACAAGAAGCAGACAATATGTTTCCCAAAAGAGTAGCCAGACTTGCAATTCATAATAGGGTAAAAACTCTGTTCCCAGTACAACTCAAAGAAAAAGACAAGAGTAAACCTGCGCTTGATTACTCTAAAAGAGACCTGCTCACCTACATTGGCTGCATGAGCCTGGATTAGTATCAATCAAATATGTGAGGCAGCACCATCACCCAACAAAGCAAACAAATAATGTGTACAAAAAACGAATAATACTTCTGTGAATAAAATATTTAAATTCAATCTTCTAATCAACTGCTTGTGTGAATCAAAAGGTAGTTAACTATTTTAAAAAAAGTGTCAAAAGTGACTAGTAAAAGTAGCAAATATCCTGTGTCAGTGTATTAACCACACAAAGGGGTTGATTTACTAACCTTATAAACACACCACGAACATGTATACACCTCTGTAGTGTGTTCCCTCCCAGCATGATCTATGGGTGGAATCTAAACATCTTTGTAGTGTGTACACACCCAGCAGGTGTGTTGTGCAAAGCCCTGCATGAATTACAAGGTGATGTTGTGTAAATTAGCTCTATGTTGTGTTGTTTGCGTTGATGAATGCAGGAATGTAAATGCATGAGCTAACCATTTTTGTCTAAACGGTGAAGCAGCATTATATATGCATCATGTGCATGATTTTTCAATATATGGCATTAGTGGAAATATGCTTTTAGAGACTTTTTGGTTGATAAATAAGTTTTGCTGTGTGAAAATCACACGCACCTGGTGCGTGCGTGTGTTTAGTTTAGTAAATCACCCCCAAAGTGTCCATGAGATTGTTAAATGCAAAGAAAACTCTCTCAAATCTTGAGAAACAAAGACAAAGTATAAACAAAAACAAAAATGTATTCTTAGTCTTCCTTTGTGTACTCTGTCCACTCTTGTGACTGTTTCTATATAGTCTTTAAACCCATTTAACATAAAAAATAAATAAAAAATAATGATATCTTCAAATTAAATTCCTTTGCTTTAGTGCTCACAAAACAACAGTGCTCTGATATATCAGCCTCTCACCTCCGTGTTCAGACTCTTGGGTCTCAAGACGCTTCTTGTGGAAATAACCTCCTTCCTCACAGTATTGAATAGACCTGATATTAGGGAAGGAGAATGACTATGCGATTTTACTTGTTTTTCATGTGAGTGTAATTCCTTTTAATAAAATAATTTTTTACTGTATAAGGGGTGCGCTATGATTTGTTTAAATGAGGATGGGCTGAAGGGAAGAGTTTTATCAAAAGGGAAGGGGATTGGAAGAGGATCTGAAGGGAAAAGGATCACGGCTTCAAATACTGTGAGGAAGGAGGTTAACTCCACAAGAAGCATCTTGAGACCCAAGAGTCTGAACACGGATATGAGAGGCTTATATATCAGAGCACTGGTGTTTTGTGAGAACTAAAGCAAAGGAATTTAATTTGAAGATATCATAATTTTTTATTTATTTTTTATGCTAAATTGGTTTAAAGACTATATAGAAACAGTCACAAGAGTGGACAGAGTACACAAAGGAAGACTAAGAATACATGTTTTTTTTTGTTTATACTTTGTCTTTATTTCACAAGATTTGAGAGAGTTTTCTTTGCATGTAACGATCTCATGGACACTGTGTGGTTAATACACTGACACAGGACATTTGCTACTTTTACTAGTCACTTTTGAGACTTTTTTTTCATAGTTGACTACCTTTAATTCACCCAAGCAGTTGATTAGAAGATTGAATTTGAATATTTTATTCACAGAAAAAATTATTCATATTTGGTTTTTGTACACATTATTTGGTAGCTTTGTTGGGTGATAGCGCCGCTTCACATATTTGAATAAACCTAGTATATGCTAGGTTATTTATAACTCCTAGATGTCCAGAAATTCCTCAGGAAAAGCAGTAGCCCATTAAGAAAAAATCATAGGGATTGTCTTTTACATTTACTATACAATTTTGCAAAGCTTTTAAATAACAACAGCATCAGCTTACCTCCTCTGCCTCTTTGTAGTTTCCATCTGCAGCTTTGGCTTGAGCATAGTTAAAGTTGAAAGTATCATCATTGTAGAAGTAACTCTAAGTTAGAAGCAATAATATGCGTAAGAGAGTATGGAAAGCATGATACAATTCAGAAAATAAGTTTGTAATACAATTAGTGATGGGCCGAACACCCCCGTGTTCGGTTCGAATTCGAACTTTAGAGCATGGAAAAAGTTTGAATTCGAACTCATTACAAGTCTATAGAAACCGAACTTGAAAAATCAATTGTGCCCTTTTTGAAGGCTTATATGTAAGTTAATGGCCATAAAAAGGGTATGGGGATTCAGGTACTGCCCTGGGGGACATGTATCAATGCAAAAACACTTTTAAACAATACAGTTTTTAAAGGAGCAGTGATTGTAACATTGCTTAAAGTGAAACAATAAAAATGAAAAATTCCTTTAAATATTGTAACTGGGGTGTCCCCTTAAACTGCCTGTAAAGTGGCGCATCTGTATGATGTATAGAACCTGCTGGTAGAAATTGTAGGAAGGACCCCATTTAAAAAAAAAAAAAAAAAGTGTGCGGTCCCCTCTGCAAATTGTTTTCCATACCCAAAAGTTTAAAGTACTTTTTAAAATCCTGATCTTAGATTTTTGTGACAAACGTGAAACATTCACACGTATTTATGATTATTTGGTAGGGCAAATTAGAAGTAGTGATTTGAGCTAGATATCACCTTTAAATCAGACATCCAGGGCAACTGAATTATAGTTTTGATAGATGTTAAAATCCTACGTGATATTTATAAAACTTGTTTAAGGAAAAAAAAACAGCCAATTTGTGTTTTAATTGAAAGCAAGCAGTTTATTAATCAGCCATTTTCCCAAAGCAACAAATAGTATATAATAGGTATTACAAATAGTACTCAATATACAAATTTGGAAAAATGCAAACCAAAAAACAGCAGAAACAGAAATGACCAGCAGAGGCATCACTAGGGTGCAGTAACTTATGGTGTCACCCCTAACCCACCCCCCATCCCCCATCCACAAAAAAATAAAAAATTCCGTAAGTTAAACTTTTATAAACAAAAATAAAGTTCTGTGCTGCCACTATGCTCCAGGGTGCTGGCCTGATAGCTTGGGTTAAGGATCTCAGGAGGGCTGTGGAGTGTCTCCGGAGGGCTACCAAGGGTCTCAGGAGGGGTGCAGAAGGTCTCATGAGGGGGAGATATGCGGGCTGGTGCGTCAAGGTCCCCAGCAAGCACGGAAACCTACGGCAGCTGCTTTATTTAAAAAAAGTGCCGGACCAAGCAACTATGCCTCTTCCAAGTGAGATCCTGCACCGGTGGTAGGTAGACACATACCCAACCATTTGCAAAATCCTATGTCCCGCACAGCTCTCCTGTCCACCATTACTTGTCAGGGCCAGTCTTCCTGGATAGACAGGCAGGAGAGAAAGCGAGGAGAGAAAGCGAGGAGAGAGCCAGGGAGAGAGAGCGAGGAGAGTGTCAGGGAGAGCGAGGAGAGAGAGCAAGGAGGGGCAGCCAGGAGTGAGAGCGAGGAGGGGCAGCCAGGAGTGAGAGCGAGGAGGGGCAGCCAGGAGTGAGAGCTTGTTAGTCCCCTATGTGATAGCAATAAAGTTAAGTGAAAAAAAGTTTTAAAAAATTAAAAATTAAGTCACATATGAAAGCAATTAAAAAATAAATAAAAAAAATGTAAAGCCCCCCCCCACATGCAAACATGCGTCGAGTGTGCCTACGTGCGAAAACGGCGATTGCATCCATTGTGCTGCACATGTTACATATCGCCGCGAACGCCGCAGTGTGAGCAATAATTCTAGGGCCATCAATCACTGATAACACTAAACTGATGAGCGGTAAAACCGTTTAAAGCATCGCCTATGGCCAATTTTGGGCATGGTAGTTTTTTGCAATTTCGCGGGCACATGCAATTTTAAAGCTTGACAAGTTTGGTGTTACCCGACGTGACCCCATCTTTTATATTTACCAAAACCATGGGTAAGAATAAATGTTTTATAACATAACGTAGGGAAAACAGGTTTTTTTTAAAACTTTGATACATTTTTCATTATATAGTAAAAAATAAAAACCCCCGGTGGTGATTAAATACCACCAAAAGAAAGTTCTATGTGCCCCCAAAAAATGGTATAACATTAATTTCAGTACAGTGTTGCATGACGAAATAAACGTCAGTCAAAGTACTGCCGCGCTGAACACTGAAAAATGGCCTGGACAGGAAGGGAGTATAAACACCCTGGTCATAAAGGGGTTAAATATTGGTGATTTAAAAGAATTCATCTTCACACTACATTTAAGGCTTGTTCACACCAAATCCAGTGCGTTCCCACAGTGCAATCACCTGCACAGGAACACATGGCACAGCAGTGCCCACGGTGCAATGCGATCGCAAAAAATAGTGCAACCAATCGCAAAAACCATGAGTGCAACCAATAGTGCAACCATGCGTTCTGGTGCGGGCGATCGATCGCACTGCAGATTTTGTCTGAACAAGCCCTAAATGTTGTGTGAAGATGAATTGTTTTATATAAGAAAAGTTTTATTGAGCTTTCATACATTACAGAAAAAGAAAACAATCAGACAAACATTTGCCTGCGGTCAAAGTCACATGTATACACAATGTGGATCCAACCCGATAAATCTACTCATTAGTCAGATAGGATGTGTAACAGTTGCATAGCTGGGCGAAACATACAAAAATTAAGCAAAGTAAAGAAAATAACAGTCAGTATTGTTAATTGTAATCTCTGCCTATATCATCGTCCAAGAATGTGAGGGATATCCACTCACATCATGAGCTGAAAGCAGGGTATGGTTGTTTGCAGCACTATATAGCCTAGAGCAGGGGTGCCCATTAGGTAGATCGTGATCTACCAGTATCTCTCAAAGGTGATGCTGGTAGATCACGAAGGGTATTTTGGTATATTTATTTAGCTGTGCATACATGATTAACTATTAGCCTGAGTCTGCCGAGCCAAGCTCCCTGACACCTTTCTGGTGGATACTGGTGGCTGAAGTCATATGCATTACATCAAAGAATATTAGTTTACACAGCCTGTTGCACTGCACTGTTTGCAAAATACAGCAAGGTGGGCCAGGAGAGAGAGCGAGGAGAGACAGCCAGGAAAGAGAGAGAGAAGAGAGACAGCTAGGGGAGAGAGCAAGGAGAGACAGCCAAGAGAGCGAAGAGAGAGCCAGGAGAGAAAATGAGGAATGACAGCCAGGAGAGAGAGAGCAAGGAAAGACAGCCAGGAGAGAGAGGAGAGACAGCCAGGAGGATGAGCAAGGAGAGACAGCCAGGAGAGAGAGAGCGAGGGAGGTTTTTTTTTAGTTGGTAGATCCCATGTAGCTCATCATTTGAAAAGTAGATCTTAACACTATAAATTGTAGGCACCCCTGGCCTAGAGGTAAGGTATAGGCACAAGGCTGGATGTGTTAGGGATTAGTGTGTGTAAATGTGGGAAACCACTATCGGTCCATGGTCAAATTGCTTAATTTTATCATTATTAAATGCTATAGTCCTCTCAAAATTGTAATGGAGCTGTACTAAGTGAGTAAGGTGGGTAGCGGAGGGAGCCTCAAGCGTTTTCCATTTTCTGGCAATAAGGAGATGCGCTGCTAGTAGGACGTGAGTATTAACCATAAATGAAGACAGTTTGTTCAAACCAAGAGAGGTTTACTGAACAGAGTGCAGCTAAAGAACGGGGTTGGAGAGTGAAATTATGGTATGTGGCACAAAGGTGCCACATTTATTTAAATAAAGTGAACTGTAACAACTTGGTCCATTTAAGATGAGTTAGATATAACCATAGTTGCACCTCCTCTCCTCATTATAACAATCCCTGGAACATACCAGGCAATTTGCAACATCCAGTGTATAGGACATAGGAAAGGAAATATGTAGCATCATAGTTGATTTATTTGGCTGAGCAATGAACATCAAGAACAGGATATAACATTTGTTACATCACTCCACAAAGCGGAATGAACGATTGAATGATAACAATGATAGAGTATCAACTTATTTGTTCTGTTATTTCCGTGATCCATCTGCATTTCTGTCCATCCTGCTTTTCATCCCTCCCCCCCCCCATCCTTAGCCTGGCATCTGTCCAGAAAGTATACATGTAAAAACACAATTTGATAAAAGTTTCGTATCTAATCAAACTCGGCACCAGATGGGTTAATACTAGACTCATGAGGAAGGATAAAAACCTCATGAACTGATTACCCAGCAGGATCTGACGAAGCCCCGTGAAACCTAGGAGGGGCGAAACGCGTCATCCGTTGTAGGATGCCAAGCTGAGACATCACCTGCATGTCAGGCTACTAACCAGCGTGGCTATTTTGAGCAGCGAGACAAAAGGATTTGCTATGCCAATAACCTGGATACATCTGTGATCAAACTGAAACCCCTCCAAGAACCGTCTACTCCGCCTGGGAGAGACAACAGGAGTATCATCTGGAACCTTCACTGCGTGATCATCACGAGCGCAATTGGAAATTAAAACATCAAGTATCCATACATCTCGAGCGAGTGACCGTCCGGTTTAAAGAGTTAAAGTAGCCGTGAGTAAAACCTACTCGAGTTCCTTTTTTACACACAGAGGGGAAGCACCCTGCTCGCCAAGTGTGATTATAACTCAGCGGCACACAGTATATTAACTCACCGGGCCTATCCTCATGCTCTTTTGTTACAAAGTAAGATAACATCAACTAAGTATCCATTGTAGCGACATTCATTATATCAGTAGAAGGCGTCCATAGGATCCAAGTCAAACGTTCATATTGACTTTACCTCAACTAAACGATATCTTTAAGACACTCCACGGAAAAAGAGAAACACATTAAGAAAGTTTGACAGGAGATTCCCAGGCATTCGACATATACTATACCGCACTCCTTCACTTTAGTCCTACGCTACTCCCTCAAAATCGAGGGCCACCTGAAGATTTAGAGTATATTGATCAGCTGGCTCCGTTTCTGTGTGAGTGTTGATTTGTACGAATGGATCGTTGCAATGATCATTTTTAAGGGTGTGGGGATAGTGGTT